TGATTATTGACCATATGTGTGCTTTGCTTTTGATGTGTTTAAGACTTTTGCTTATTTTTATAGGTTTGTTTTTCTCACCATTTAATTATAAGAATTCTTTGTATTTTCAATATACATGTCCTTTGTCAGAAAATTGTGAATATTATCTCTCAGGCCATGGCTTGCTTCTTCATTTTCTAAATGCCTCCTTTTGATGGACAGATGTTTTAAATTTAGATGAAATTTAATTGTATCTATTTTATTACATTGCTGTTAATATCCGGTCTAATATATACCTGCTTACCCTTAGGTTACAGAAGTATTCTTGTATACTTTCTTCTAAAACCTTTAAAGATTTAGAATTTTATTTCAGTCGCTAATTTTTGTATATAGTGTGAGGTAAAGAATTTCTTCTGGCACTTTTGTTGAAAATCAGTTGACCTTATAATGGCTGAGTCTGTTTCTAGACTATATTTTTCATTTATATATTTGCTTATCCTTATACCAACACCATGCTCTTAAATATTTTAGTTTTAATTCAGTCTTAAAGTCAGGTATTGTTAGTCTTCCACCTTTGTTCTTTTTCAATATAGTTTGACTCGTCTAGGTTCTTTGTATTTTCATAGAAACTTTAGAATTTCAAAAAATTGTGCCCTATATGTGTAATAAGAATTGTAATGCTTTCCACTGCTGTCGTGTAGTTAAAAAAATAAAAAAAATAAATAAATAAGAGAAACTTTAGAATTGCTTTACAAGTTTCCATAGAAAGACCTGGTGAGGTTAGAATTGAGATTGAGTTGAATATATAGTCTGCATGTGTATGTGTACACATATATTGAGAGGAGGAGGAGGATCAATAGATTCCCAAGGTTTAGTGTTCCCTTTACATGGCATATCCATTCATTTATTAAAGTTACCTTTAATGTTGTGTATTAATAAAAGAATAAATTTATGACTTTAACATTTAATTATTATCTATTTTTTCCTGTTGGATTGTGAACTCAATATAACAAAGACTGGGTCTTGTTTTCATTATATCCCCAGGGCCTATCACTATGCCTAGCACATAGTAGGCACTTAAGTGACTATGTGTTGATAGTATTTAGCTCTGTAGTTAAGCTTTTAATAAATTTAGAATAGTTAATTGATCGTTTTTGCTGACTTCATAACATTTTTATGAAGTAGGCAACATTTTCTTTTCATGACAGAAATTTAAGCAACATTCCATCAAGTTAAGTCTTGACTCATTTAATGTACTATCTTTCTTTTTTGGGCTCTTACATTAAGAACATGTAATGTGGATCAGAAGGGTCTATTGAGAGCCCTGAAGATTTGGCAAGAAATAATACTGACTGAGATTATTAACTAAAAAATGGAAAAGTAAGACTTTGAAAATAAGGAAATATTGTGATTAACTTCTACCAGAAAATATAGGCAAGAAAAAAATTGAAATTAAATAGCAATTAACATTGAGAAAAAAATAGGTTCTTTACTAAAAGACCCTGCTTTCACTTACAAAATTGACTTCTATACAAGGTCAAAGAATGCACAGCTTTTATGAAGATCCATTTAATTTAATGACTTTCAGAAACAAACACTGTGAAAATAAAGATAATAATGTAGCCCATAAAATTTCATGCTTTAGTGTTTAGGTAATTGCTTGTTAAATTAAGGTATTTTTTTCTGGACATGGATATACCCCTTTCTTTTTTATTAAGATTATAATAAGAGGTTTCCTCTAATTTGGCTGAATTCTATTTGGCTGTTCAACAGTTATTCCAAATATTAATTTTAATGGGTTAAATTAATTCATTTAAGGCCCATTGAAGATAATGAAATATTGTGGTATTTGTATAATTATTGTTTTAAGAAATTACTTTGTTTCAAGATTGCACATAAGGAAAAAAGATAGCAAAGATGAAATATGTTGGTGCAATAAGAAAATTTTTGATTTATTTAGCCAAATGATAACAGAATAAATTTATTTTTAATTGATCATTCCAAAAGAATTAAACTATTCAGTTAATACAATGATTTCTCCAGGAATATTCATTTAAAAATTTTTAAGAGTATGCTTCTGAATCATATTCATATTATGTTGAATAACGGAATTTTATAGTAAGATAACAATATGTAGATCTTAATATTATATCCTTGAATTTTAGACTTTGACATGCTGGTTTCCTGGAATAGGGAGGTTAGATAGTCATCATATCATCTCCTTAAGACAAAGCATAACTGAATTATATACTTTATGAAATATAAATTCAAGTAGAATGTTTCACTGAATGACTTCATTGTATTTGAAATAGAATCTCAATGTTTGTTTCTGTGTTAATGAAAGTTTTTTTTTAAATACAAAGATGTTTTCCCATCTACTAATGTGGTGAAGAAATCCTATATACTTAAAATATTAGTTGCTTATGTGAATATTTACAATTATCCTTTAGTACAACTTTTATTTTCCTTTTATTAAGTAATTGGGTAGCAGGAAGGTCATAATAGGAGAAGCATCACCATGAAATGAATTTAAATTGTTTTACGGAGTAGACTTCATTTGTGCAGACAGAAAGCAAGTCCCTGAAAACCAATTTAATGGTCAGAAAAACTTTAAGGTCTAATACTTCAATCAATTCCTATGCTTTCCTTCCTGGGATGAGCACAAATAGGTTTCTAAATGTGTATTAAAAAAGGGAGTTGATGCAATGCACGTTGTGGTTCTGGTTAAGAAATATAGAGCATTATTTTTTACAAGTATTTTTTAACCTATTGTGGGTTTATATTATGGATAAAATAAATGAAATGTGTATTTATATAATTCATCAATCTATTGAAAATATTTTAGTGGACTTAAAGTAGATGTTCATTAAAGTTTAATTTACTTTTTAAAAAGATAGTGTTACTAATAATCATTAATCCTGATATTTTTAGTTCATTGGAGTAGATTTAACTAATTATTGCTATACCTCCTATTATAGGAATAATTATATCATTCTACTATACTAAACACTAGTGGTAATATGATGATGATTATGTGATCATGATTATGATGGTAACATTTATTAAATATTTATTATACACAAAGCCTTAAGCCATTTTACTGAATCATTCAGTTGAATATATGTACAAGTCCATTGTACAGCTATTTTGTAAACACTATACATAAGTTATATAGCTTCCCAAGGTCACATTGCTATGAAGAATTTTCAATATTGTGTATGGAATTATTATACTGTATTACTCTAATGAAGCAACTGGACCTGTGAGCTGATTATTTATGGAGACATAATATTTGATTTTTAACACCTGTTCTAAAACAAATGTAGTATCATTTTTGAGATAAACTCTCATTCAAGTTGACACTGTAGAGCTACGTTGTTTTCATATACCTATAAGGATATTCTTTAGAACACTTAAAATATGGGCTTGAAATCTGTGTTCTAGGATCTCATACATCATTCTTAATGCAGAGGTTTAAAACAACAACAACAACAGATTCATTGTTCTGTTTTGAAARCAATTTATTTATTCTCTAAACCTTTTCCCCAGGAAAGACCAACCATTTCTTTTTTCCATTCCCTCTTACAATCTCCTGCTCTTTATTTACTGCTCTCTAATTCATGGAGGTGTCAGAGAATTTCTTTCTGGTTTAGTTCATCTTCACTTTTAGGGAGGCTTTATGTGGCCTGAGCCACTTCCTCAGCATTCTTGACTCTTCTGGTCTCCTCAGTATTGTAGCTAAAGTCTTCCTTGTATCTTTAGTTGCTCTTAGTGGTAGTTTTATACCCTGCTTTAGGAGTAGGAGACCTCTACTTAGTATGGGGGAATGTGTGGGTTTTTTTATTATTATTATTTTTGTAGTTATAGACATGGATAGCTTGCCTTTATGTTTTTATTTTTTATTTATTTATGGTGCTGGGGATTGAACCCAGGGCCTTGTGCATATGAGGCAAGCACTTTACCAACTGAGCTATATCCCYAGTCCTTATTTGTTTATTTTTATGTCTTGCTAAAATCAAATCCAGTCCTCACACATACTAGGTAAGCGCTCTGCCACTGAGCTACAGCGCTGCAGCCTCAGCCCCAGAGATATGTGTTTTGCCCTTTCCTCAGGGGCCTATGTGTTTTGTGCCTTTCCCCAGCATCCACTAGTTATTGCCTGCATGACATCACCACGTAAAGAAGCACTCTTTGGTCTCCCTGCCTGCCCCTAACACTCAATGGAGGCCTGCAGGAAAGAGTTTATAAGTGAGTTCAAATTTCCTAGCTATTTCAAATTGCCCTAACCCTCAGATGATATACTTGATACTTTAAACTTTCACCTGATTTCTGGTATTCTTTCTCCCTGTTGGCTATAGTTCATATTCATATCTTTTATGGAATTGGCTCACCTATATCTGGGTTTCATGATACTTGGTTGTTTTGTCACTTCAGCTCTCTGATAGGTTCAGAAAAATATTTTAATAAGCTCACCAATTATTTCTAATAATGGATCAACTGGTATATATTTCTTATGAGAATTAACTACAAATTAACAGAAGAAATTTTTTGTTTTTCAGAATTTATATGTTTTCTTTTCAGAAATAAATATAGTATATTCTCCTAATCCTCTATGTGTGGTTTAGAATTAAATTCCAAGGAGTTTTTATTTTATTCATAATTATTTTGAATTACTTTTTAAACTTTGTATTTCAAATATGTACACTGAACAAATTCTCTTTAAAAGTAGGTGGAATTTTATTTGAATGTATCTGGCAGCAAACTGTTAATTTTAATTTAGTTAAATGTGAGTGAGTCATATTTTTGAAACTATAAGTTTCATCCTTTCATCCTCTACCCCCTTTCACATTATTACATACAAAATATGTTGCATGTGATCATTCAGTGAGAATTATAGTGGACTCTTTATGGTTCAATTATCTCTTGAATTGCCCAAGGCTGAATTTGAACTGAAGACTTAACAGTTTTGCAGAAAGGAAGTAGGAATGATTTTTTAAATTATTATTATTAATGTTTTTCAGCAAGGCTAGAGAAGATCTTCTGAAAACTCAGAAAGAACGTGATTTTCATCGAATGCATCACAAGAGAATAGTCCAAGAAAAAAATAAATTAATTAATGACCTCAAAGGGTAAGCTGACCATATTTGTTGGCATATATATTAAAGTTATTAGTGTTAAGTAATTTGAATATGACAGAACCTTTTTGATAAAGTTATTCACTCAATATGTACTGAGCATATAGTATGTACCAAATACTATGTTATATGTTTAAAACTCAAGAATGAATAAATTTAGGCCTTTGCTGTCAAGGACTCCGGGCCCCTCTGCAGTGTATGATGGTTGTGATGGTTGATACAGTTGTTGCTGAATCAGCCAGGAGGGTAGTGATCTCAATGATACTAAAGTGTGAGAGGGATCAGGATATATTTTCAGAGGAACTAAATAGTGAAGTGTAAGTAAGAGTAAATACAGTGAGGGAGTGGAGGCAGCAGAGTGCTCTTGGTATATTCTGTGCAAAGGCAACAAGTCATGTAAGAGCATGCCATGCTTACCAAATTGTAAGCATAAAGAGCAAACTGCAGATGTGGCTTTTCAGGATAGGAGGGTATCCTAAATGACCTTGAATTTATGATGACACTTTCAGAAATTATTCTGAAGACATTATTTAGATTTACTTTTCCACACAACCTACTTTCCTTTCCATAAGAAACTAAAAATGGACTTTATAGTCTTAAACTTCTCTTTTGCTTGCTCTAGGGCCAGGCTATCTAATAGAACTTTATGTGATGATGTAAGTATCTGTACCCTGAAATACAATTGCCAGCTAAGTCTTTATATTTAAAATATATCATACTTGTTAAACATCCAACTATGTTTAAGGGAAACTCTATTATAATTAATTGCATAAAAGTTATCAATTTAGATTCTACCTTTGTTCATATTTTATTACTTCAGGTGAATAAAAAATACATATTACCTTGGGATACATCCATACTTGCTCTATACTCAGATGGCCTTTATTTCTTCATTTAATCATTAGGAATAATGTTTCCATTTTACCATCTGTTGAATCACTAGTGTGCTTTTCCTAAGTGCCTAGAACAAAACTTCAGTTATGCCGTAAGAGTCACATAAAAAAAATGAGTCATCAAAGTTAGTCACTTGGCTAAATTAGAATTTGAATTCTTTGTGTCATATTTTACCCGAATATTTCAATTGTATATCCATATTTCCTTTCATTTTCAATCATTAAAAGTGGAACTTTTTTGGTAAATTGTTCAGCTAATTTGATAATAACTTTTACAGTATTTCCCATTTAACATGAATTTTTTAAAAATTCTTTTAGTTATACATGGCAGTAGAGTCAATTTTGACATATTTATAAAAACATGGAATATATCTTATTCTAATTAGGATCCTAGTTTTATGGATATACATAATGTGGAGATAACACTGTGGTGTATTCATATATGTACATAGGAAAATTATGTCAGATTCATTCCACTGTGTTTTCTATTCCTATTCCCCATCCCTTCCCTTCATTCTTCTTTGTATAATCCACAGAACTTTTATTCTCCCCCAATTCCTTGTTTTGTGTTAGCATCCACGTATCAGAGAGAACATTGAATCTTTGGGTTTTAGGGATTGGCTTGTTTCATTTAGCATGATAGTCACTAAATTCATCCATTTACTGGCAGATGTCATAAAGTCATTTTACTTTATGGCTTTATATTATAGTAATATTCCACTATGTAGATATACCACATTTTCTTTATCCTGTCAACTGTGGAAGGGCACTGAAGTTAGTTCACTATTGTCAATTGAACTGTGATTAACACTGATATAGCCATGTCACTGTAGTATGCTAATTTTTAACTCTTTTGGGTATATACTGAGAAGTGGTACAACTGGGTCAAATGGTGGTTCCATTCCAGATTTTTTTAGGAATCTTCATATTGCTTTCCAGATGGTGGCTTAAATTTGCAGTCCTACCAGCAAAGTATGAGTGTACCTTTTCCCCCACATCCTTGCCAACATTTATTGTTGCTTATATACTTGATAACTGCCATTCTGACTGGAGTGAGGTAATACCAGACCTTAGATTATACTACAGAATCATAGTAACAAAAACAGCATTGTATTGGAACCAAAACAAGCATGAAGACCAGTGTAACAGAAGAGAAGACACAGAGATAAGCCCACATAAATACAGTTATCTCATACTAGACAAAGGCACCAAAAACATACACTGGTGAAAACATATCCTTTTCAAAAATGGTGCTTGGAAAACTGGAAATCCATATGTAGCAGAATGAAATTTAACCCCTRTCGAACTGCACAAAACACAAAATGGATCAAAGACCTAGGCATTATACCAGAAATCCTCCATATACTATAAGACTCCTAAAGCTCAAGAAGTAAAATCAAAAATCAATAAATTGGATGGTATAAAACTAAAAAACTTTTTCACAGCAAAGGAAAGAAGAGGGTGAGAAGAGAGCCTATAGAATGGGAGAAAATCTTTGCCACCTGTACCTTAGATAAGGCATTTATTTCTAGGATATATAAAGAACTCAGAGCCTAACACCAAAAACCAACTAACCAACCAGCCAACCAAACAGAAACCCCCAAGCTAATCGATATATGGCCAAAGGGCTAAACAGACACTTCTCAAAAGAAGAAATATACACGTTCAATAAATACATGAAAATGTTCAACATCTCTAGCAATTTGAGAAATTCAAAATTCAAAATAAAACTACACTGAGATTTTATATGAATGTCTTATGATGTATGTATTTTGAGAATTATCATTATCAAATACAGAAATTGTAAACTAATTATGAAGTTCTATGGAACTTATAGAACATACATACTAATTGGACAGTTTCTCTGAATGTTGTTTGCATGTTATATGACAGTAGTGTTTTGTGTTGCTAATTTCTGAACAAAGTTTAATCAAGGCCACATTTCATAAATGAGTTAGATGCCTGTTTGAGTCAGCTTTGCATTGCTGTGACTAAAAGGCCTGATAAGAACAAGTTAGAGTAGGAAAAGTGAGTTTGGCTCATGGTTTAAAGGTTTAGTCTGGTTGGCCAATCCTATAGCTCTGGCCCTGAGGAGAATCAGAATATCATGGCAGAAGGGTGAGGTAGAGAAAAGCAACTCAGAACATGGCAATCAGGAAACAGAGCTCTGCTCACCAGGCACTAAATATAAACCCCAAAAGCACACCCCAGTCACCTACTTCTTCTAGCCACACCCTACGTGCCAATAGTTATACCTGCCTAGTAAATCCATATAAGTGAATTAATCAATCCACTGATTAAGTTAAAACTGTCATAACTTAATCATTTCACCTCTGAATATTCTTGCATTGTCTCACTTGTGAGTTTTTGGGGGACATCTTATATATAGGCCAAAACAATGCCAGAGTTAAATAAGGGGAGAGTTTGTCTTCAATATTTCTCACAAAGTATTTCTTTAACTGTCCATAAATTATAGCACACCTTCTTTTGGTATACAATTTTTGTACCTGAATATGTGTTTATAAATGTATACTGTTTTGGAGGTATATAATAAAGTACATATATGCTAAGCACATAAACACAAATGGAAAATGGAATTGTACATGCTACATAAATTTTTTATTTTTGCTTCTCTCTTTTATGAGTATGGTTGATTTAGCACACATTAAATGTGTAATAACTACTTCAATATTTAAGTTGTATTACTATCACGAATGAAGTATGATTTGGAAATCAATGAGTTTTATAAATAATTTAATGAAAATTGTATTGAATAAAATGAAGGCTACCATTTTAATATTTCAATAGAAAAAATAATGATACCCAATATGCTTTGGGTCATATCAGAATAATTACTATAGAACTAACCTTCCAAATGGTCCTAGAGTACAAAACTCGACAAAATATAGGAGTCAGTTGTTTTTAAGATATTAGAAAATCAGCAAAGCAGTACTTGTGATGTCTAAGAAAAGGGAAACATATGAACTGAGCAGTGTGATCATCCCAATTTCTTCCTGAATGCATTTTGTAGACCACAGTGTGAGAAGATAGAATACCAGCAGACACAGTGATCATTGCTGAGCTGAGGAAGCAGAGATCATAGTTCTTGATGGCAGAGGGAGCTGAAATTTTCAGACAATTATACACAAAAGGAAGGGTGTACATGAAAAGGAACTCAGGAAATATCTGTTATGGCTCTCTTTAGTTTTTGTAGAAATACAAGTGAAGAGAATCTGAAACCTGGCAGATCAGCTCTGKGGAAGCTGTGAACAAAGTAGAGATTTCAGAGGCTGGACAGTGCTGGAAGATGTAATAGATGCAAGAGTTCTGAACAGTTATAACAGATCCTTAATAAATATTCAGAATATTCAGTAAGACCTGTAATAAGCCATGCCATAGAAATAAGTTTAGACCAGTCCTAGAAAAGGCAGTATTTTAGACTTGCCCTAAGAAAATTTTAAAAGTAATGTGACAAGCTCTGAAAGGCTCAAGCTCAATCCTTAGAGAGTTTTTCAGGCAGATAAAGTTAATTTGCTTGAATTTTTGTCATCTTTTAGAGAGTTTTTCAGGCAGATAAAGTTAATTTGTCTAAAAGATGACAAAATTCAAACAAGTATGTGTATGTGCAATATAGAGTGAATAAATAGATAAATATATACCAGTGTATCTCTGTATAGAAAAATAGAAGCAGAAAATCATGTACTCTCAACAGTAAGAATTAGTATCAGAACCAGAGAGGACAGAAACAATAAAATTATCAGATAAGGACTTTAAAACAGCTGTTATGATATGCTTAGGGTTTTAAAGTAAATGATTATAATGTGTAAAGAGATGAGAAATTTCAACAGTGACATAAAACTATAAATGAAGAGCCAAGTGGAAATTCTAGAACTGAAGGGCATAATATTAGCTATGAACAATTCACAAATAGTTTGTATTGGCAGATTGGACATTGTCAACAAAATGATGAGTGAACATAAAAACAGGAAAATAGAAAATAATGAAGCTGAAGCATAAAGGAAAAAAGCTGTATAGTAATTATCAAAGCATCAAAAAGAAGAAACTGAAAAAATAACCTGTGGGTCATTATCAAGTGGTCCATGATGTTTGTATTTGGAATCCTAGAAGAGGAGTTGGACTTTCTGATTCTACTGCTAACTTACTTCAATTGCCAAGAATGAGTTCAAATTATTCACTCAGGAATGTTTAAATTGACCACTTGATGGATATTTGGACTAAATAAGCTAACTGTGAGCCATCCTTTAGCCAGGACTCCACCTAGTATCTTGTTTCTGTTGACTTCCATTCTAATAGAGGGATCATAATGTTCACTTTGGGTTTCTGGATATCAACAGAAACTTCCAACAGGTATAATCACTGAAGTAAATGGCCATAGACAATTTTGCAGAAGAACTGAGGCTATTATAAGGTGGAAAATTTCTTGAATGTTATGGAGTCCTTCTATACTGGCTACCAGGGCAGCTCAGGCATTTTACTTTGATGAGTGTTGGCACCCACTTCTTGAAATTCCTAAGGTGTGTCCTAGCAGTTAATTTATCCCATTCCCTGGAGTTCTTACTATGTGGTTAAGTCAGTTTTATAAAGAAAATGTTTCACAGTAAATGAATTATTGTTTGTCCAATCTTACATTCTAACCCTTTTTTTCAAGTACCTCAAACCAATGTGAGTGTTCTGGTTCCTGTCAGTGTATGCTGACTAATTCTTGTAGCATTTTAGATACAGAGTCTCTATCTTCTCTTGTCACAGTATCAGCTTGGCATTCAGGAGAGAAGGTAGGGGCACTTCCAGAGGGGTATCTATTAACCATGGGGAAGAGAGAAGCCTCTGTAGCATCTTGTACCACAGGTGAAGCATTCAGTTCATCCAGGAAAGGGGTGGGGGATACCTCTGTGAACCTATAGTGGCTGGGGAAAGGGACTAGAGAGTTCACATACTCTGGGAATCAATCCTGAGAACTGGGGAAAAAAATGGGGACATTTTATTTTAAATGGGTCCATTCATCAGGAAAACATATTAAATATTCATGAATCTAATACATGGAGCAAAATCTGATACAATTATAAGAAAAAAGTTATTTCTACATTTATAATTGGAGATTTTTAAGACTCTTTATAATTATTAGAAAATATAGACAAATTCTCTAAGTTTATAGAGTAGCACCATCAATCAATTAAACATAATTAATATTTCTAGAATTCTGTTTTGAACTTTTCAGGTGTACATGGAATATTTACCAAAATATATATTGAACAATAAATGAAGTCTCTTTAAATTTCAAAGGATTGAGTTGCACAAAGAATATTTTCTGACAAAAACCAAATTAAATTAGAAGTCAACAACAAAATGGTATCTAGAAGTTTCCAAAATATTTAGAAATTAATTAATGCACTTCAAGGAATCCATGAATCCAGGAAGGAAATTAGAAAATAATTTGAACTTCAAATAACCCATGAGTCAAAAAAGGAAATTGGAAAATATTGTGAACTGAGTGATCAAAAATGCAACAGATAAAAATTTGTGGAATGCAGCAAAAGCAGCTTAAACCTGATAGCTTTAAATGCCTGTATTAAAAAGGAGAAGTTTTATAATCAGTTATGTAATCTTTTTATGTCTTAAAAGCTTTTAAAAAAGAGCAAATTACATAGAAAAAATGAAATAAAAAATGGCTAAAATCAATAAAGTAGGAAATGGAGAAACTAAGACAAAACTGTAAAGTAAAATATTGGTTATTTGAAAGTACGTTAAAATTATAAATCACAGATAGGCTGATTATTACAAAACTGTTGGCAAAGATTAGCCAGGACCATCACATATTCCTGTTGGAAGTATAAATTACAACTCAGCAATTCAACTCCTAGATATTTATCTAAAAGAAATGAAGATCTGTGATCAAAAGTGTCTTGCATGACTTGGATAAAAATGTTCAGAGCAGCATTAGTTATGATATCCAAACTCAGATTTTCATCATCAGAATAATATATCAGAGAATGTAATACAAGGAAGTATACTCACAATAAAAAAGGAATGAAGTATAGGTACTGATATATAAGACAACAAGAAATCTAAAAGACATTATGCTGAGTGAAAGAAGCATTTCCAAAGAGAACATATTCTATGATACCAAATATATTAAGTCCAGAATTTTCTGAGATATTATAAATGTGGACTACATGAGTACACATAGTTCTCAAAACTCTTTGAACACTGACGATTTGTAAATTTTACCTCATGTACATTATACTTCAATTACAAATATTAATATTTTGTGGTCATTTTCAAATTAGATAGATTTTAATGATTTTRTATCACATGTTCAGTAGTATTAACTTACATATCAAAATACTTTTATACTTAACATTGTCTTGTTTTCAAGACCATCCTTTGTTTTGGTATGAATGATACTTTCTGTTTATTCATCCATTGTTTGTGTCCCTAATTTTGTGAAAATTATTTCTGAATTGATTAAAGGAACTGTAGTTTCTTAAATCTGAAAGAATTGAAGCAATCTGCTGAGTATATACTTAAATACAACAAAAGGTGCTAATAGGAAATAGAAAACTAGTAAAGGCAAATGTGTTATTTTCCTCTCCTCCCTTATCTCACTCCTCACCCCCAGGTTTTTGCATTGAAATGGCTTGCTAAATAATACTTACTGTGCTTCTTGGCTCTAGTGTGTTGACCTTTATATAGTTAGTCATTTTATTCCTCCTTCAAAAAATAAAAGAAAATCAGTTCAGATGTTAGATGGGAATCATTTATTTAATTCYTTTACCCTTTAAGATGCAACAGTCCTTTTATTTTTTATAGGTTGAAGTTACATTATGCATCCTATGAACCAACTATAAGGGTGTTACATGAGAAGCACCATGCTTTACTGAAGGAGAAAATGCTGACCTCCTTGGAAAGAGACAGAGCTGTTGGACAGGTAAACAGACAATCAAAGCTACTTTGAAACAAGTTTTAATCATTATTTTAATCATTTTTTAAGTACAAGTAGAAACACTGATTTTGATTCTGAGGTAAATTTTAAAATTTTTTCACAAATTTTTATGTAAAAAATTCATTTGGAAATATTAAAAAAGTATTCTATCCATTTTAAAACCCATAATAATTATTATTAAATTAAATATTATTTAATTGTAACAAATTTACAGTAGATTATTAAGTTAGAAGAAATTACTTAGCTATTGTGGCTAGACTAATGGGTTCAAAGGCCACCTTTGACAATTATAAACATTGATCTTAGGCAAGAGACTCCTAGAGCTTAGATTTCATATATATAATATAGAGCCACAAAGCCCCATATTTTAAGGTTGTTGTGAAACATGTAAGATAATGAATGTAAACTCCCTGTAATTTCCCCCAAATGAATATTTGAAACTCCTAGATCCTGATTTGATTTGTTTTTATTTTTTGCTTGATGAATGACACCCTTTTTAATTTTTCCTGAAGAGTTTTTACACAGGCTTAGGCCTAGGGAAGAGGTGGGAAATCTTTGGCAGAGTAATCAAGGAAAAGAAAACAAAATATTTATAAACCACATATTTATTTTGTATATATGTATATATAAAGTTTACTACAGAATATAAACCTGCAATTGTACTTAACATTGATTTTTTATTATCTGGAATTTTTTATTTTGCCCAAACTCAGAAAATACAGAAGCTTGTGTGATGATAATACAATTCCTTTAATAATTTTATTGTAAAGGGACGTTTTATTCAAGTTTGTCTTTTGAGTGGAATCTTTAGCTACTAAAATGCAAAACCTCATTTGTTTTGGTGCCCTTTCTGCTTGAATTTTAATCTTCTGTCTTTGAATGTTTAGATTGCATGATAAATAATATTGAATGAAATGAGTTTTATAATTATTTAAATTTTATGGCATTATATTCAAACCCTTAGAATTTAATCTCCTTGCTCCTTTTCATCTAACCTGTAGCAAGTACCTGCACTACCACCAAGTTGTTTATTTCTACTTCTGCAACCTGTTCAGCTTTGATTCTGTCATTCATCTGCTCTGTGCTTAGAGCTGTTATTTCTGTGGAAGCATTCTTGATTTTCCTGTCTCTGAAATTGAGCATGATTCCTGAAGTTACATTAAAGGCCATTTTGAGAGCATATTTAGAGTATAAAACAATCCCTGGGTTTCAGATCATTCCTCACTGGGTTATTAAAAACGTTAAGGAGTAGGAGTAGTGAGTTTGAATCTCAGTTTTGGGGTAAAGTGTGAATCTTCAGGTCATTTACATATAGTTTGTTTTCTCACATATTAATCAAAGGTAAATTATTTGTCTTATGATTTATATATATCTAAAATGAAAACATGTTTAAAAAGTTAAAATCACTCTGTGAGTCAAGGTTGAATTTTATATACTTCTGTTTGGTTGTATATTTATTAGCTGCAACTGTTTTATTTTGTCCTTGAACTCCTGGATACTCCTGAAGGCAAAGGAAAAGATAACCTGCCTGCTGAAGACTGTCTAGATCTTTCTAGGTTAAAACAGCTTCTGTAAGTTTATCCCCTAGTATGTAAATATTATAGTAACTGGTTGGTTGGCTGAGAGATAAGTATCAGTATTAATTTTCTTCCTTCCGATGGCGGCATCTTCTCATTCTCYCTATTATAAAGGGTACTTATGAATCTTATAGCATGGACTCTACATGCTATTCTTTGTCTTTACTTTCCTATGTAGTGTGACTTATTTGATCATATTCCTGATGTTGAGGTGCATGGTTTTCAGTGGGTTGAGTGTAAACCCTGTATACCTTGTTAAACGCATGGTCTCTGTCACAACATCTGTGAGCTTCTTAACATCTGTCCTGAGTCTAATACTTTTTTTCTGGTCCAGTGCTTCAGATGTTAACATTTCTATTTACCTCACAGAAGTATGCAGACGCTTCTGATTTCCCTATAATGCAGATACAAGCCATAAGCAATTTAGAAAGCAGTTAAGGTCTGTCTACATTGACACATCATTTTCAGTCAATTTTTACACTACCTAGAGAGCACTATTTTTCTAGCACCGTGAAAATCATGAAGGACTTTTTAAGTGACTGTCATCATTCCTACACCATTTCCTGAGAAACTAGGAGCAAGTATACTCTCTATTTGGAGTATCCCCAGACTATGTAGTTTTATTTGAACTTTGTTCTTAGCAGGCCCACTTGGGTTTTTAACTTGAGAGGGAAACCCACACTCTTATGTCTGACCTCTTGCTCAGGCATAGACTTCCCCTTTATATGTTTTGGTTCTATTGGATGGGATGACTTTTCTGTCTTCTTCTATATTACAAGCCACCCTATATCCTCATTTGTCTCAGACAGTCCTCACACCTGTTTCCACAGGATAATTTTTAATGACTTCCACTTCATCCTAAAAAAACCAAAAAATAAAAATAAAATCCCTATTTAGAAAATACTTACTAATGGAAAAATTCTAAAGAGCTTATTTCTTGATATCTAAAATGGAATAGTTTGGATTTAGAAATAGCATTCCTCTCAACCACATCTGCTGTTCAAGATAGTAGATTCTGTACAATTTGAGAAAGTCAAGATTTAAATAGGAAATCCTGTTGCTGCCACTGTAGACTTCAGTATGGACATTACTGAAAATGGACATTCAGTGCTCTTTTAGAATTGTCTTATACATGTCAATGGAAATTGACCACAGCAGTCACCATCCTCAAGTTAAGTTCTGCACTGTACATGATTCCTCACATCAGTACATGTTTTTCAAAATCCAAAATGACTACACAAGATTGATGGTGCCTAAGTGCTATCTCCTTGGCACTGGAGGGAGATTCATTATTATCTGTGTGCTAGTTAGGGATAGGCTGTGTAAACGTCTGATATCTATGGCAACAAGTGGAAGACTTGTAGTTTTAAATTCAGGCTACTAACTGGTGAGATGACTGTCATATCTCTCTGTACAACATTCTAATTGATATAATAATATATAATAATAATAATATAATAATTCTACAATAATAATAATTTATCCTCGGATCAATTAGTTGATTCTCCAAATTAGGGCAGAGAATGTAGTTGTAGTCCATCTCTCCATGTGTGTCTTTGGAGAACAAGCCAAGGTTACCATTTAAAGAACTGAACCTGGGGGCTGTGGCTGTGGCTTAGCAGTAGAGTGCTCACCTAGCACTCCAGGCCCTGGGTTCGGTCCACACAACACATAAAAATAAACAAATGAAATAAACGTTTATAAAAAAGAACTGAACCTGTCTGGATACCTCTCATACAAAGAACAATTTATTACCAAGCAATTTTTTTTTCTGTTGGAGCATACTTATCAGGTGTGGGTGTACAGCCATAGGAACCTACAGTGTGTCATGATGTCACAGAATGAATTTATTAAAAATATTTGTAAAATGAAAAGAAAAAAGAACCTCAAGAAAACAATGGGATTTGGCAAGAGATAAAGGAACTATGGTAGACAGAGCTAGATGGATTTCCATTCAAATTTGGTTTGGATATTAGGGCTAATAGTACCATCCACACAGCAAGGGAGTGAAAAATTTTATTACTTTCATAATTGAGTTGTCTCAGAGAGCAGCATATGCCCCTAAGCATTTCTGAAATCTATGAGTAAGATCAGGGAAAGGAGACTGGCTTATATTTTATTATGATTGGGATTTAGGGCAGGGTGAGCATTTTTATGTGGAGGGAGGGGCTTGCATAATTTAAATTTCCTGTCAATGCCAAGGAAATTGCAACTAGGGGTTCTTATCAGCTTGCCCTGATGTGGGACATGAGGGAAAGAAAATTGAGTGAGATTCTTCTTTTTTAGGATCCTAAAGTTGTCACAATTTAAGCAACAATATAAATTATGTAGTATTGGATTATTACTCAAAGCATAAAATAAATATCTCTAATTCTACAATGGTATAAATAAATCATTGAATAAATAAGCAGGAGGAGAATAGATAAATCTCCCATACAGGAGAATATTACATAATATATGTAGATAATCCTTCCCTGAAGGAGATGGATCTGGACAACTTATCTATGAAGTACTGGCTGTACTTCACTACTTGCTTTCAAAAGTACAATAGATATAAGGGGAAAAGTAACTTTAGAGTAGAGAAACCTGGTAAACTACCTTAGCTGGGTGATCAAGGTTAACATAATAAGTTTTAAGTCATGTTGGCAGCATATACCTGTGATATGTTGTGCTTATAATGGCATTTCACCTCTGTTGTCTTCTTTGCCAAATCCTATAAGTATAGCTTAACTATGGGGTAAACATCAGACTACCCAAATTTAAGGCCATTCTGTAAAATATTACTTGATTAGTATTTATAAGTATTCAAGGCCTGGGCTGATGTTGTGGCGCAGTGGTAGAGCGCTTGCCTAGTGTGTGTGAGGCACTGGGTTTGATTCCCAACACTGTATATAAATAAATATATTAAAATAAAGTTTCATCTACAACTAATATATATATATATATGTATATTTTTTTAAATAAAAAATATATTTAAGGCCATTAAAATCAGGGAAAGTCTAAAGAACCACCCTGATCCAGAGAAAGCTAGAGAGATGTAAAAAGTGAATGTAATGTAGTGTTATGGTTCGGCCCCTAGAACATAAAAATTAACAAAATCCAACAGAAAGGGACTTCAGCAGACCTTAATACTGGTTTATTGTTTGTGATAAATGTACCATCTTAATGCATATTAACAGGGGAAATAGGCTGTAGGCATACAGGAACTCTTGGCCATATATTAGCAACTATTCTGGAAATCCTATGCTATTTAAATAAGAAATTTATTTTTAAAATTTATAATCCATCTGATCTGTAAGAATTGATATTAATCTGTTACTTTTTTAATCACAGGCATTTCGTTAACACTAATCTATTGATTATAAATTATCTGCAATTTTTATTAATAAAGAAATATTGCTATTCAGTGATAGTATAAAAATGTATTTCTGTGTATAATTAAACAGATGGTATTTTGTGTTTGCATAATCATGTACAATGAGGGATGATATAGCTTTTTAAGGCTGATTTTAAATTTAAATCTATTGTTTAGGCAAATGATATGCCACCCAGCTAACAAATGTTCTTAATTATAAGACATATTTAATAAAATGGAGTATCTGTGGGTGGAAATGAACTAAGAGGTTTAGGTGCATAAACAGTCTTTTCATATTTTACTTTTCCAAATAATACTTAACCTCACGGTTTTTAGATAGAAGATAAGTTATCATGAAGAAATATAAACCGAGGACAAACCTCTCTCAAAGTAGAGAGCTGAATTATGATAAAACTGTGTTGTAAAATAATGTTTCAGTTTCTTATCCATGATAATTAATAATTGCCTGCAGAATTCAATATTGACTAAAAATTATTTTCCTTTTGTTAAASTTCATGTTTGACATTTAAAATTATAGGCTTTTATTCAAGAGAAATAATATTTTTGATATTTTTCAATCATTTTATTTTACTTAGCCATTTAAAGTCATTTAGTACATAACCCTATATATTTGACTTTTTTTCTTTTTAGATTTCTGGACTTCAAGCAACACTGAAGAACATAGATGTAGGACATAATTTTCATATTCCTGAAATTAAAGGTAAAAGTAAAATATAATTCTAGCTTAATATTGGGGATGATTTCTTAATATTATCAGAGATCAACATTCTAGAGATATTTAAAAGTGAGTAAGTGGGGAGATAATTATTTCACAAAGCAAAATTTTAATTAAACAATTAAGGAAATGCAGACATGATAATATATAGATATATTTTTTTTTAAAGAGAGAGAGAGAGAGAGAGAGAGAGAGAGAGAGAGAGAATTTTTAATATTTGTTTTTTAGCTATTGGCAGACACAACATATTTGTTTGTATGTGGTGCTGAGGATCGAACCCGGGGCGCACGCATGCCAGGCAAGCGTGCTACCACTTGAGCCACATCCCCAGCCCAAATATTTTTGAGAACTATGTGAGTCAGCCATCTTGGAAGAACTTCTGTTCTGATCATGATGGAGTACCAGGTACCAGACTAGCTTTGTCTTCATAAATAACTCCAAAAGTAAGCTATAGATGAGGCAACTATTAGCATCTGAAAAACAGACATCTCAGATTGCAGAAGGAACTTATCTACCTTCAATCATGACTCCATGCTTGAGGAAATTTCCAAGCCAAGCTTCTTGGAAATGGATGCCAAAAAGAAAACTGAAAAGGCAGATAACATTGTTCATAACTTTAGAATCTGTAAGAAAGTGCTTTAGAGAAGAGGGAACTCAAAAGAGGGTCTCAGTAACTATAAGTCTGTAGCTGATGGTTGGGCTGCATGTAGATTGAGACTTAACAGAGGGATAAAAGTCTACAGGACTAAGAACAGACTAGAAATTCTGTAGGCCAGGCAGTGATGATAAACATTTCCAATTCCAACTATCCCTAGTTGGGGAGAACTCTTTCACACATTATTACAATACATTAATATTCAGTATCCTATACTGATGCTATAAAAGCAGAAACAAAGCTTACACATGAGTTTTAGAAGAGACAGAGTTTAAGTTTTGCTAAGTAAGAAGTACCTTAGGACTTTACATAAAACTACCCAAATAAAGGACAAAATTAAGCCAAGAATATCAGAATATCAAAACAATCAAACAAAAACAGAATTGCCTTATTGAACAAAAACTGTTAGGAATTCAATTCCTAAATGACTAAAATTGTAAAAAAGAATAAACATGGTGTCTTGAAGATTGAAGAACATTGCATATTGGGTTTATTGTTGTAATCATTGATCTCTAATGATTCATTCATTCTTTTTCTAATAGTTTATAATTATATATAGTTATCCTTGACATTTTCATCAAAATATAGTGGTGGTTTCAGATAGCTCCTATATGATATTAGCTCCTTGTACTCAATTCAATGTATAAAAGAACATATTGCATGTTTTTCTAGACTGATAATTTACAAATTACTTTGAAGATCAAGCTTGCAATTGTGTTTTGATCTGTGCTAATTTGAAATGACTTAGTAGAAAGGAATGAATTCTTACACAACATGAAGAAATAGTTTTTATTTTAGTTGCATATCCCAATTATCTGAACAAAATAAATACTTTAAAATCTATATTGAATAAATTTTTGCACTTTATAAACATACTCTCTAATTTTAGATACTATAGTTGCAGTACCTTTWCCTAAGGTTCTGATCTCAGCATTTGATTGTGTGATCTCAAGACTCTTTCGGTGCTCCAGCGGCCTGAACTTGGGATATTACTTACCAAGGGGATTTATCTTTTTAAAAAGTTGGATTAATGATGGCTCTTCATAAATCTTGCCATCTTCCACATTTTTTTTGAGATGATAGGGATTAAAACTAGGACCTCAACTAAAGAAATTTTCTACCACTAACTACACCTTCAGCCCCACAACTATTAAATATATTACTAACTTATTTATCATGATTTTCATATTTTATTCCTTCTCTCTTCACTTGTTCATTTAAGCTTAATTTTTCTCCTCCCCCCTCCTCCTCCTGTCCTCTTCCTCTTCTTCTTCCCCTCCTCCTGCTCATCCTCCTCCCTCTGTCATCCACTCATTTATTCATTTATTCATCAATTTATTTATTTGGGGAATAAATTTGTATGGCAGTTGAGATTCTTCAAATCATATGTGTACACTGTGAGGTTAGATGACAACAAATTGTCTTTTTCTCTGAACTTTAGCAAGAAGAGAAGTTATTGTTATTTAATTAAAATGTGGGAAATAAGATAAAAAGTGGATTGATTTGGAGCAGAGTTATCAAAGAATTTTCAATGTACTTTGTTTTTGGCCCATAAAGTGCCAAGTTGATTATAGAAATTTTAGACAATTTTATATTTTTGTAAAAGCCACACATAATTATTACCACACAGAATTTTGTTACTTTAATACCTACCCTTCACACATGAAAAGGGTTTTTAGTTTTGCGTTTATCTCTTGTATGGTAGATAGATTAATAAAAAATTCCTAGGTGACATTATAAAGTAATAAATTATTATTGATTAGATACTTAAACTGACAATTATGGATTATGTTTACTTTTATTGTTAGGTAACATATATCAAATATTTCTCAGGAACTTCTCAGAAAACACTTATTATTACATAATATGAGATAAAACTGAAGTTTTGTGAATTATGCATTTTTTAAAAAGTTTATGCTGGTTTTGATTATTATGCTTGTTATTTATATTAATTTAGTTTGCTATAGGTTGGTATTTGAATGTAATAATGCCTATTTCCAAAGCAGAATATGATATGTATAATGATATCTTTTTTAATATTTATTTTTTAGTTGTAGTTGGATACAATATCTTTATTTTACTTATTTATTTTTATGTGGTGCTGAGGCTCGAACCCAGGGCCTCACATGCACAAGGCAAGTGCTATACCACTAAGCCAAAATCCCAGCCCTAATGGTATCTTAATATATCATAATTTTTCATAGAAAATTATGAATTAAGAATGAATGACTAACTCGAAATTGGACATTTTTGGTAAAGTGAAAAGTTGTGAACGTTGACATCAGAGTTTTACAAATGAAATAAATATTCTTTGTAGTTAAGCAAAGTACCCTTAATATAGTACTCCTATACATTTATATTATTATTATTTCTTTATTAGTTGCTCAAGACAATACAATGATCTTGACATATCATACATTTGAATCCAATAGGGTATGAATTCTCATTTTTTGACGTATACAGATTGCAGGATCACATTGGTTATACATCCATGTGTATAAATACAACAATCCTAGTGTCAGTTGTATTCTGCTGCCCTCCCTATCCTTCCCTCCCCTTCCCTCCCGTCACCTCTCTCTACCCATTCTACTGTGACATTTATCTCTCTCTTTTATTTTCTTCCCTTCCCCCTCACACCATCATACATGTATTTTGTGAAACCATGAGCGTCTCCTTCCATCTTCCTTGCAATTCCCCTTCTCCCTCCCATTCCCTCCCACCTCTTTTCCTTGTTTTATTGTAATCTTCTTCTCATGCTCTTCCTCCCTACTCTGTTTTGAGTCACCTCCCTTATATCAGAGAAGACATTCGGCATTTGTTTTTTAGGGATTGGCTAACTTCACTTAGCATAATCTGCTCTAGTGCCACCCATTTCCCTGCAAATGCCATGATTTTGTTATATTTTAGTGCTGAGTAATATTCCATTGTGTATAAATGCCACATTTTTTTTTATCCATTCATCTGTTG